ACTTCGAAGCAATATGTATCTACTTGGAGGGAAAGATCTTCGGCGGATGTGATTTATTTTTGCCCAGGTATTCAATCGTCTCTCTTGTTCGGGTTCAGATACTTCTCACGACAGTTTGGAATGTGTTACCTCGTGTAGTCAATGTAAGCCAAGTACGTCCTCTTGTCTGTGCCGCTTTGCTGTTCCCGGCGGAGTGAAAAAAGCGACACACGGATGGTTCAGCCTATCAATAGCCCGGTGACATTCTGAGGTTCAGGTATACAGGTAACTTTAGGCACGTCGGTCAGGTGCTGTTCGAACTTTGCGTTACTTCCTCCCATTGGTAACATTGATCGCGAAGCGTTCAAGAATTTCATATTATCTGTCATAATGGCTGTCCCGCACTAGATATGGGAAGCGTTCCCTCAGGAAGGGAACAAAGGCTGTGGGATGTCCACATTTCTCTTCTATCTTCTGAATGTTGCACATAATCAAACGTGTCAAGAAACTACTGTGAAACGCTTACTACTGAAATTTTGTTGACTTCCACGTAGATTTTTTACTATTAACTCTAACTAGTTACTGGTGCTGTGTCTACGCGAAAACTTCGTTTATTTTCCTCTGTTTCAGGAAACGGATAATCCCATACTTTTGTCTGCGCTGCTTAGTCTTTCCTCAGTTGTTTCCTTAGCATCTGACTGTCATTTAGGGTCGCTGTTGACCGATCTCTGCTTGTGTCTGCTACCAGTCTACTCGAGTTCATGTGCTCCGGTTCGGGCGGCCGCATTTCGCCTGTTTGGTATTGTAATGCAGTTTGCTTGGGAACCATCCTCAGATCCCAATATCGGGTTACGCCCCTCGTCACTGTTTGATGCACTGAGTGCCGAGGCCAACTCAGTCTTCATATCCATGACGTTACATTTGGGCGATCCTGATGAAAATGTTGTACAAGTGTGCAAGGTCGCCCTAAAACAGGTAAGTACTTTTTGCAGCTTACTAGAGAATGCATTAACTACCTGTCCAGTTGCCTACTGCTGTTGCAAATGATAAGATTTTTTTTTCATTTTGACAGTTAGTAATATGACTGTGTAGTCACCCTTGTTTTTTTATGTTTTTGGATCAAGGAATATCTGGATGCAGTTGACAAGCTTTTTCGCCACGTGTTGTTTAGCCCAAATATGTTTTTACAGTCCTTAAATGACCAGAGTCTAAACAGATCTGTCCGTATAATACATACTGATAAGGTACACTTTGCTGTTGTCCCGAACAAAACCGACTGTAATTGAAAATGGCTCGAATCTTAAGAGGATATTAGCATCGGATCGAATCCGCGAAATCTAAACAGACTTAAGCTTGAGTTGAACAAATTTCCCCGATACGTTAGACGCCTTCAGGTCGCACCGATCCATGCAATCTCCATAATCCAAAGGATCACATAAGATCCATAAGTCTGATGTTCCCTCCACTTGTGTCACTTATCACTTATTGGGATGCCCCAGTATCGTAATCAAACCATTTGTGAAGGTTACAGTAAACAACTTAAATTCTCCGAACGAGTTTGTATGGAAAATCCCCTCAGTTGCGATTGGACTGATGATAAGGTGGTGAGCTGTAGCACCGTTTCTTTCAAGTCTACTAACCAGCAATTCTTCGCGATATTTTGTCATTACCGGCAGTATGTTGGGCGTCATTCTGGTCATTTCAATAGTTTCATCAACATATAGTTAGATTCTCTGTGATTTATATCAGGTTGTCACCCACACTATACGAGAAAATGTTGGACACCATTTTGACTGCGTGCAATCAAGGCTTCTTCAAAAAGTTCTCGGGTCATTTTAAGGACTTTTAGAGTCACCGCAGCGTGTTCACTACGAATGAGGTCGAACAGATGGTGCTTCGTGTGACATTTATTCCACTTGGTTATTGGAGCAAGAGTAACCCTATGCGCAGTTTTCTCGGTAACTGAGCAATTCAACTACCGTAGGTACATTTCGTCACGAACATAGTAACCGGAATCAAAAAGGATAGGAGAAACAAAGGTTCACCGATATCTACCACTGTGTGGTTGGGCTGAGCTCGACTGGTCGAACTGTTGTCTGGTTTTCATTCACCCTGAAAATGCAGTGGATGTCTACTGAACTTGGTTTCGTTTGACGCAGACAGATCCTGTGCAAATCTCCAAAACTTCCACCCAGCGAGATTTTTGGGCCCCTGAGAATTGACCTGCCCTGGTCGGATAAATTGTGGTTTTCCAGCACGGTTTGCGTAACAATAGCTTAGTATTCCTCCAGGTTCTGTATATGCAAGTAAATTTAGGGTGGAAGTTATGCAATTCTTTTGTGCTCTGCAATGTGCGCTTTCGTTTACCTCTCCCCTTCCCTATAAATGCAGTGGATGTCTACTGAACTTGGTTTCGTTTGACGCAGACAGATCCTGTGCAAATCTCCAAAACTTCCACCCAGCGAGATTTTTGGGCCCCTGAGAATTGACCTGCCCTGGTCGGATAAATTGTGGTTTTCCAGCACGGTTTGCGGAACAATAGCTTAGTATTCCTCCAGGTTCTGTATATGCAAGTAAATTTAGGGTGGAAGTTATGCAATTCTTTTGTGCTCTGCAATGTGCGCTTTCGTTTACCTCTCCTCCTTCCCTATGTAGGTAGCATAGCAACCCCCCCATTAGATTCCATACATTTGGGCCACCTGGATTGACGCGTTCTTCAGAGAGAGTCCCGACCTTCAGGTTCGACCACGCAACGATGAATAATATTCAACAGTTTTTCCTCTGTTCTTTTTGTTTCCGATTACTATGCTCCTGACAGAGATAACCCAAGGTGATCTAAAAGCTTAGGAATAAAAAGATTGTGCTTGACCTTGTTTCCCCCACCAATGAACGACCAACTTTAACTACTCATTACAGACAGTAGTGTGGAAAAACGAGAGTGGCGTTTGGGCCGTCAACCAAAGACTTGCTGTGCGGGCAGGACTGTTTGGCATTCCACTGTATCCGTCCAGACGAGCGATCCGATGCAATCTACTATTAGTTATTTCCATCTCATGGGTCTGATTCAGTTAGTGTGCTAAGCACGGGTGCTAGTCTTCACTAGCCACATGCTATTTGGCTGCATTGAATTTACGGTAGTTCCCCTCAAGAACGAGTGCCTCATGGATTTTGCAACTTCCAAAAGTTGCACCATGAAAGCTTCATCATGTCCCCGATGCGTGAGCACCCGAAGAGTTGTTGGCTGACAACCACTAGCCGACGGAAGGCACTGAGTTCACCGAAGTGACTACGGACGAGCATTACTTACACCTATGCTCGAACAGACATTTTCCCAATGGGTTAAGCTAAATGGGCTTTAAGACATAAACTAATGGCTGTGAAATCGATGTGACTCATATTTTTGAATGTTTTTAATACCCCATATACTAAATGGGACTGAGTAGCGGTGCTGCTGGCTCGTCTACTGCCAGCCTTTGTTCCAGGTGGGAGTGTTGTTTGGGATGTGCGACGTCGCAAACAACTGCTAGCATGCTGTGAGTCAGGAAGAGTGTTATATGAGTTGCTCTTTCTACGGACTACTGGACCTATAGGTTACAGGAGAAAGTCTGAACGATATAAACGAGCACAATCATCTGCTGATATTGCTTTTGTTGGAGTAAGTGGACAAAAGCGTTGAACCTACTGTATAGTAGAGAAGTCAAGTGACGTGACGGAATAAATGCTTAATGATTGTATCTTGCTGTATAAACGTGTGACCCTCCAATACACTGGGTTCTGGCAGAGGAGAGCCAATTGCTGAAAAGGTTGTGACAGGCAGGGCACTCAGACAAAGGCTCTGTCTCGATTGTGCGCGCCCGCGGTCCGTTGCACAGCTTGTGACACGAGGGATCAACCGGTTCGATCCATCTGTCTCATTTCCGTGAAATAAGGTTTGCTGTGAGATCACTGAGTCCAAAAATTTGATCTAACGATTGATTTATACATAAGGTGACATGTAGTGACATGAGAACTCATTCACAGTGGCGGATGGCTTTATTTCAACACTGATCACACTAGAATGGTTCAAGTTGCGCATTAGCAAAATATAGCCCGTACGATTCATTCAGTTATAAATGCCTTTAGCCGTTGGTGATTGATCCGTTAGATAGTGTGAATTTTCGCATTTTCGAGTTGTTTTTACGTTCAGGCGAACTACTCTTTATGCCTTGGTAACCCATGTTCGGATGGTTTGTGAATTTTGCCTTATCGCTCCGCTCCTTGCTAACGTCAACTGCATCCACACTCTTTTTTCGATATTGCTTTAACTCTGAGGTTTGGTCTTTATTGGAAGCTCCGATCGGATTCAGCCTTTTTTCTATCCTACATCGCTCGAGTAATGGAATTCAATTGATAAGATGCTTGAGTGCCGGATGCACCACGCATATGATTTGGCGTGGCCATAAAACATATAGCTTACTTGGACATAGGCGGTTTACGTCAAATCTGATGCACTTTTCACATGTTTTACTTCGTTTGTCGGATGGTTGACGGACATTTCGGGCTGAAAACGGTCGATTTTAAAGATAGTGAGATTCTTCACTTTTATGCAATGCTAGATGACCCACGTTTGCCATCATCTGAATAGTTTACAATACACGACGAGTAGGAGTTTGCTGAATTATTTCAGGTAACTTTAGAGAAACCCGCTATCCATTCGCGGGCTACTTTTATACGCATTCGTTGTTCTGTACTCACTTTTTACTTGTCACTCACACATATTTACATCTTGTTTTATATCAGATAGGGCTCGTGCTTTTTGGTGCTGCGAATCCTCCTGGCGAAGAGCTACACCATCCGGATTTGGTATCTTGCTCCAAACCGGCAACTGGCTCGCGTCGTCTGTTTGAATTCCTTCAAACCTGTCTGCGTCCAAATGTTCGTTTACATCTTGGAGAGTTTTACAATGACCTGGCGCGCCTTCTGGTGGGTTGTTTGGTACTTAGTAAATTTCCACCCTTTGTTAAAAATTTGAACGATCAGTCTACTCCTTTTCAACCCTCAGCATGTGTAAGATAAGTGTGCACTTCTGAATAAGTGGAATCCGCGTGTCTCGGTAATGCGGCCATTCTGATGACCTTGACAACGCCTGATAACTGGGTATACTGTATTACAGACCTGACGTTTTACCCTGGGGGAATGCAACACCACTATGTGCAAATAGAAGAACACAGTTTGATTTACTGTTATTTCCATGTGCATTGAAATGTTTATCTTGGTTACTTCGTTCAATATTATATATATATATTAGTGGGTTTCTGAAGTTCACCGTTGAGAGATTTTTATTTATCTTCGGAAATTTCCTTTACAGGTATCCCTTCTTCCCGACCATGTTGCTGATTATGCAATGAGGAGCACGGTGTACTTGAATTCGGACTTGGACGAGGTTCAATGTAGTGCGCTACTTTTTACCAGTAAGTCGACGTCTGTCAGACTTTCCGGTTTGGCTCTGTAAAGCGCGGATATTTCTGTAAATTATGATGAAGTCACGTTTGGTGACGATGAAGTGTGGTTTACTCTGAAGCTCTAAACTTCTCTCGCTCATTGGAGCGGAATGAAAAGTTTCGGGCAGACAGTTGCTACTCCCCAAACCTTATGTGACGCAGAAAGCTTGTTTCAGCCAAACTTGTAGGTCTTGTCTGTCAGGTAATTGAAGTGTGCTCTGATCAGGATTCACCTACTGTTGACTATAGTTTAACCTCCATTTATATGCGCCACTTCCTCATCCAGCTTTGGGAAGACCCTCTTTTTTCTGCGTGCAGCGTCAAATTTTACTTTTAACGCTCAGGATATCAGTGAAATGATGTCATAGTGATGGGTAGTCATCCTGACCTAGTGTTGGCCTGACTGTTTATGTCGGTACATAAATGGAAGACGGGCTGTTGTCAGCTGTCTAACCGAGTAACTTGAGTAACGTGTTTTTCATTACATATGGTCAAATTCTATCTAAATAAATCCCAAATTCAGCACACACACAGTACACATGAGACGAACAATCCTCTTATATGTTTCGATAACTTAGTGACTACATAACCAAATGTGATAATAAGCCGCTCAGCTTATTGTAGACCTTTCGAGACAGGATAGTACCTAGACCTCATCTTCCATCCGGTAGACAATTCATTTCAGGTTATCAGGCATAAACCATGTACCAAGGATTCTAGGTTCTGGCTGCTACAATTTCGGTCACCGGAAAATCTGAAAGGCGATGAAGGGAATTTGGACAAGCGTGCTCAACATATCGCAAGCTGTCGCGGCTGGGTCAAACACAAGATACGCCTTGTTGTCGTCTATCCTATGTAGTGGCGTTCTTTTTTGTCAAAACAGGAAGGGTCTAGCCTTGCGAATCCGTCATGGACTACCTTGCGATGTGAGTGCTCATCTGATTTGTTTATGCTATGCTTCCGTGTGCCAACGACTTGCTTTAACTGAAGTGATTTGATAATGCGGTAATGGAGAACACTTGTTGTGTAACATCGTTTTTCTTTGGAGTGCTTCCCATGCTGATTTCAAATGTCTCTTCTCATCTTTAGGTTCATTGATCTTTCACTCTACGGATGAAATACGCGCAAACTTTCCGCTAGCCCAAGTTTGCAAAGGTAGGTTTGAATATCCAACTTATGCGGAAATCTTTTTCTTTCGCCATCATCTATTATCTGTACCCAGAAATGGCTGTTGTTTTGCAAATGTCTCACGAGGCTTCTTGTCACTTTTAAACGCGATTTAACTGGAGAATATTCCATCGCGTCACCTATTGACTGTGGCAACTTCTTCAGACTGAACAACCCCTGATTTTTTTTATAAACAACGCGGTGTTTGAGGTCTGAATTCGCTTAAGGTGTACTTTTTGAATGTGTCGGTCAGTGTAAGGCGTTTTTGTTAGCTTGTGGACAACTTTTCTTCTATTGTAATAGTGTGTGATTACGCACAACTTCTACCAGTCTGTTCATCTTGTGAAACAACACTTTTTTGTGTAGTTTGTTGGGTCCTTTTTGGGTATGTTACCATTGCCTTATCTGTTCGTTTTAGTTGAGGCCATCACGTGACCTCTATCGGACGCTTATACTCTTTCACATCTCTTGACCGTGCGCATTCCGCGTCACTGATTGCTCCCCCATGTGTCGCCATCAGTCCCATAGTTTACTACCTCCCATTCACTCGCGACTGTAGGTCTTCATATATTTTGATACAATGACTCTGATGATCGTCTTCTCTTCTGGTAACTGTGTGAAAAAAATCGTTCAGCTGTAGCACCCTTTCGGTACCTAGCTGCCGTGCCACACGAAGGAGGCACGAGGACCGGAATACTGCCAAGTCGCCCAAGTCTAGACAGGGGAAGTCGAGGGACAGAGGTCGCGTTCGAACCACCGACCTTCCGGTCAGTAAATTCGCGCCATAACCACTTGGTTCAACTCGTCCCGGTAACTGTGTGAACAGTCTTAATATTCTGTTTGTAGGATTAATGCTGTCTTCATCCTGCTTGTTAAGGGTTTGTCGTTCAATTCCGATTCCGAACTTTCGTTATACTCAGTGCTAATTTTTGGAGGTTTGAGCACTTTCCTCCTCACGGCGACAAAAGATACCTGTCTGTTGTCGCCCGAGTCACATATCGAGAGTAAAAACTTGCGAATCATGTGAAGCTGTCCACTTTTAAGTATGACATACTACTGGACAAGGGCATTGTAAGGCCATTTATGTTGAGGGGTTCGGGTGCCACGCTGTCCGTCGTTAGTCTAGGGTGCATCAAATGAATGGCGTATCCTGCCACGTAGGTCTTCTTGTTGTCATCAGTTGGATTGTCTTACTTGCTGCGCACAGCACTACGAGTAAGCAAAACAGACTTACCCCGACGTTCCTTCTTTGTGTTTCACATAGCTCTTTTGTGAAGTTCCCTAGACTAATAATAATACTCTCAAGGACGGCCTGCTATTAATGACTGACTGCCGCTGTCCATTTTTCGAAGGAATACCGAAGCTGACAGAATCGGGCCCCTGACGATTGTTTGCTTCCCCATGGCGACAAGTGACCGCCCAACATGCCTCTCCCAGAGAGGATTTCAGAGGTGAACTAGAGGTCGCTTCAGAGAGTAGATATCTTCAGTATACGCTGGTCCGTATCTTTGTCTACTGTGCGCTGCAGGATAACGGTGTGTATAGTATTTAGTGAGAGTGATTATTCTGAGCCAACCTTTGCACCGCTCTATTTGGTGAACGAAAATCTTTTGGTGCTTTCAATCGTGAACATTCTCACATTGGTCCAAATGAAGTCTCGACAGCCTTGCGAGTTCTGATACATTAACCTAATGAACCTGTATAAGGACTGTCAGCCTGCGTCATCTGGTTTATCATCTAACAAGGCCCAAACAACAACCACCGAAGACTACACTGGGATGGCCAAACTTATGGAAGAGGTCGTCGTGGAAAGGCGGTCAACCCGGCCTCTTCGAGTCAAATATCATTAATCTTACACTACTGTGCCAGGTTGTTGGAAATCGCTGAGTCCTACTGCAATGACTTCGGGCAGGCCAGTCCTGGGTTGCCTCGCCTCCTCATGTCACTATGGTGTGATTTCTCTACTATTCATCACAACGACTAGCAACAAAATAACCGTATCGGTTACTTGATGCGCTTTACACCCGTAAGCTTTAGTTTCGTGTTTCTGGAAGGTAACTTATCAGAATGCTTATATGCCCTCAGGGTCAGCGCAATACAAGCGGTGCCGACCTAATGCGAGCATCAGCTAGTGAACAGTGCTATGGCAGTTAGAACCACTGTACATGGATCCACGAACTTAAATCATGAACCCTCTATAGGTAAGAAATCCTGGAGAACTGTAGTGTATCTTATACTGAGATGTCAGGTGATAATCATACATGACCTATTCGGTGCGCTATGATTGTTTTGCTTAGAATAGCCTAACCTACTTGTGGCGTATTTAATTCCGCTCCATCGATCCTAGTAAGTGGTATTGGATCCCCAGCGTACCGATGGCTTAGGAACGGTGGCAGTCATTCTTGAATATTCATAAACATGTAATGCTACTGTGTTACCTTATCTCCGCGCTACTGGCGTTAATGATAACATTATGGGTTGATTTACGCAGAAGACTGGATATCCTTCCGACGAATTAGGAATTTTTTTACCGGCAACCACTGAGTTGCGGATACTGGGAATGGTTGACAACACGACGACTCTGCTGCCAACGCCGGTTGGGTGTTCAAATGAGAGTGGTTTGAACACAAATTCTACACACGAATCCCACATCCACTTCCAGCTCTTTGTACAACGCGGCATGAAGACTTGTGATTTGTATTCGTAGGTTCTCGGCACTTAACTTCGTCCAAATTTTAGCTGTGACGTTTAGTGTGGTCGCACCGAAAAGCCGTTCCACCTGTTTATGTCACCATGTCCTTTTATTTTTCTCTTTTCAGATCTAACTCTAGGTTTACGATCAGGTAATCCCATCGTGCGAGCCACTTCCGCCCATGCACTGAGTCGCTTGTATCGCGTTTGATCTGCTGACCAATCCACATTACTGTGATATGGCAACACCCTGTGTTTTCTTTATATTTTCCACCCACAACCCAGAGATCTGACTGTACCAAACGCTCTCTCAGAATCCAATTTCTACTGCATATTAACTAGTGTTTCACTCAATTGTGAGGGAATAAATATGATAAAATAACTTCTTCTCATTCACGATGGGAATGACATGGTTACGACATCGAAGAAGCAAGTAAAATCAAGATGGGTGTGGTCCTCCAACTACCTAGGTTTGCAACTTTTTGTTTTGAAAGTGAAATCATCGCGTGCTTATCCACCCTTGGATAGTGTACGGCTTTTTTCTTCGGTAAAAATCGTATTTGGTCGTGTCACGAGTTTTCAATGCCACCAGGTCCTCTCTAGATGCTGGTCGGCTACACAGATCGCTGACCAATCCTACGTGACTCCTGTTCACATGGCTTTAGGTTCGAATCTTCTGTTGAAACCCTTAGCGAAGATGAAGCAGCTTTGCGGCATCCTCCACGAGATCTCATAAACTACAGCCGCGTAATTGGTGCTGGGCTTCCATCCGAGAAACTAGTCGAAATCACTTCACGTGACATGATTTCAAGCTATGTCGTCTCAGTACATTCATATAAATGCACCACCGCTGGAGAATTAATTAGGCTGAATAACAGGTTGCGACAGCAGCCAAGTCGATATGTGCCGTGCTTTCATAGTTTCAACGTTCCTGTTGTTGTCATCCAGTATAAAATATCCATCGATCTGTTTGTGCCCGTCAACCCACGGAACCAGTTTCTCACGTAAGATCGGTAACGTATTTGGTCCGTAAGGTAAATCGACTTTATGCTGTACATGTAACTGTGGTGGGCAGTTGGGTTTATTTGACCCTACATCGACTGATAGGAACCCTTACTTTCAATCAGACCATTTTCAGGGACCTGAGGACATTTGGTTCGAAGAGGTCGGAATCGTTGACCATTGTCCACGTCCAAACGTAGGATAAACAAGTCTGGGTGGATGCGAGGCACAGTTCTGCTATGAGACGTCGAAAGTAGTACGACTACCAGATCAACGGCCATCTCCAAAAATAGCCACAGAATGAGTCCACAGCTTCGACAGAACCGATGAGATTTGGATATATCATGAATCGTATTTAAAGCTGAAACGTTTAGCTTACTACGCAAAATAATTTGGGTTGCTAGCTCAGCCGTATACAAGATCTGAATGATCTGGTTGGTATAGTTTCGCAGCATATCAGTTGCCAGCTGTACTCACGTGCGTCAGGATTTACCGGTGGTCTTGACCCGCCTTACTGGGCAACCACTGTAGCACTGAAATTGTATAGACGCATTCTAAGATGGACAGGGGAACGCAACGAAGATGTTCCGTAAATCCAATATACAAGTGTAAGCCGGGCTCGCATATGTAAGGGTACCGGACCACTTCACGCATTTCTATTTTCCAGCAAGTCATATCCGCTTCTGGATGGCCTAATATGCTGCGTACTTACCACTCTATACCAGGTTTGCTAAAGCGTTAAGTGTGACCCCCATAAATTGTTGACTACTCGGAGAGCTGTACGCTTATGTGAGCCTGGACGAGTGAGGGTCCACAGTAACCCTTAGCCTGAGTTCTCTCTTTCCACTGCGATCACTGTTCACCATCATTCAACTTCCACAGCAATATCATCATGGAAGATTTTCTTATATCCTGTGTATCGGTGCGATCGAAATGCCCCCTGAGTGTCAGCTCGCAGATATGGAGTGTGCAGACGACAGAGATCTCCTTGGATCTGACAGTATTAAAGTACCCATATTATTTCGTTCCGTGGTTTGGTATGCGCTCCATATATGCACGTTTAAAGTGCTGCTGCGAAACTTGATGCATAAACATGAGGGAGAGTTGACAAGTCTGCCTACTTGGGTGGTGAGACTCAGGACAACATTGCTATCTAGGTAGGGAACACCAGAGCAACTTCTGCCAAGCTCCACAGACTGTGACGCAAGTGCTAGGTTTGCGATGCTGCACTGCTTTATACATCATTAGATAGATCAGGAAGCCGGTCACTGTAGACAGAGAACAGACACATCGACAGGCTGCAACGACCCCTTGCCAGCTGAAATGCAGGCGAAAAACATCCCTGCAAGTGATAACTTACATGATGACCACTAGACCACTCCGAGAGACGAACACTAGAATAGTGCCTTTGGCAGAATAGCTAATGCCTAACCATTGTGCCACAAGCGGGGTATCTTACCCTGTTTTTACTCACCAAGGGTGGCCCTGGTTAGTAAAAGCCCACAATTTCCAGCAGACATGCCATCGTGAATTCATCCTACCTGATACCGATTCATCGTAGGAAACACTCGCATTTACATTTAATTAATCCCATCTGCTCAAATTGATCGTTTATACAATGTTCAAACCCACTAGAATTTGACAGTCCCTACTTCATAAAGAGTACGCTGGGGAGACGCACGGTAGTCTGCGCCCTGACGGCTTTTTATAGACCATATTTTCCAGTTAGCAAGACAAAACTGTCGATATCGGATAGTGAACACATGCGTTTTTTGCCAATAAGGCTAGGACTGAAGAAAACTAATCGGAAAAATACTACCGCCTATGCTATCCTAATCACTGATGCTACTCTGCTTGCAACTGCGCTTCAATAGGCCTCTTTTAGGCTAGTAATTTGCTGATTTTTGATTAAAGTGAGATAGTACTAATTGATCCTGTCTTTAATCTGTCCCTACGACTTCCATGTAGTGTGCCACGAACTAACTACAGGTGGGACAGTCTGCAGCTGGGGACGAGTGAATGGGTGGGTTAGAGCCGAGTATCGTCCCCCACACTGGAGAGGAGATTGTATTGGACGACGGGGCACCCTAGAACACAGTCTGGTATCCAAGGAAAGTGCCTGAAAGCAGAAGGTTAAGGACTGTCGGGAAAGACCAGAAGAATTAACGGATGGAGTCAAGGAGTGAGAGGAGAAAATGCGATTGTTTTAACAATCATCAAACTCGTTTGACTGGTTCCATAAAAAGAAGAGAAAAACGAAACCACAGCGGGGGCAATTAAACGAAGAGCGCTATGGAAAGCACAAAATCACGTTTCACTCCTGGGAAACTAATTCAGGGGAATCTGTATTCGGAGTGGTATCAAAGGAACACGGAGGCTGAACTGCAGGCTTTTTCCTCTGTAATACAGGAGTCGGAACCTGTTGCTACGTCACCGCCCGGAGAGAGTTGTGGAGAAGACAGCGGGTCGTGATCTGGTGACGGAGATGATTCTTCCGAATGCAAATATTCTGATTCTTCCGAATGCAAATCTTCTGATTCTTCCGCAGCCACAGAGGTCCCTGGACTTGAGCCCATGAGACTCGGAGTTTGTATACGTTGTGTTGATATTGACGAGGCATCAACTATCGAGCGGACAATCTCCACAGACCCGGACCACGGCTGCGTTCGCAGCTGGATCTGGAAGTGACCAACGATTTGATCACCTGAACCAACATGGTTGAAAAACTCTCGTAACTCCCAGTCGCTCAACAGATTCGGCAGTTCATAATGATGAAAGAAATAGATCATCGAATGTAGGGTAAAAAGCCATGAAACCCACAAGGCCATGCTGCTGAATTGACCATTGAATCGGTAATGGTAGGCGTAGAATGCAACGTGGTACAGATAGAAGAACCTGTGAAGGGAAGATGTTGACACATGATCGATAAGGTGGGACAGACGGACAAATTGTCTTACACTCCCCAGTTACTTAATCCTTGGGAAGAAGGTCTCAGAGATGTTCTTCTGAATACAATGTGTATATAAATATAAGGAGGCCGAATGATAAATAGAATTAAAGCAAACAAAGCACAACATACCTTGGCCAATACCGGCGACTGATTTCCGTTCTACAAAAGATGGCCTCGTAGTGATCACAGATGCTCACAATGAGGATCACATAGAAGGCAGTGAAGGAATCTCCGAAGAATTCCGACATAATGGTTTCGATAGCTGTTTGGGAGTGTCGTGAAGGGAGGATGACGGGGTGGGAAAATGTCATAGGCATGAATTAAATTTGGAAAAACGAAAATGAGTTGAGACCAGACATCTCTTTATGAAGACGTGGCATTGCGCCCACGAGTTAACTTGTGGGTGAACACAATGAAAGGTGAACGCTTGAATGTAACAGCTCATATAAGACGTGAAGCGACTGTATACACCGTTCGCCACGCAGAATGTCGCCAGTTAGAACAACTCAACTTTTCCGATTCTTTGCTGTTCCGACCTTGGTCTTATGCAAAATGCGTTCACGCAACCATTGCGAGGCCAAATAGGTTGGACTACTTCATACATATGGATTAAGGGGTTGAGCCTTGTTCATACAAATAAAGAAATCTGATTCTTTCTTTGCTGTTCCGACCTTGGTCTTATGCGAAATGCGTTCACGCAACCATAGCGAGGCCAAATAGGTTGGATCACTTCATACATATGGATTAAGGGGTTGAGGAGTGTATCAGTATCAGTGTTATACGAATGGACAACGTTCAATTAGATTTCGAAGCCTTGTAAGCGTCACAGTCCAAACGACATCGTTTTAATGAATAGGGTTATTGACTATGCTGTTAAAAAACAGAGGCTGGTCTAGTTATTAGGGCTAGAGGAAATCGGTCCTCTGTGGCGTCTGTCTTTTATAAACATTAAGGGAGCTCGAGTTTTCTACTCAGGATACCAAGGACGTACGAGATACAGTTGAATAAGACTGAAGACATTAGTCTGTCGCTGTGTGGTTCGGAGTGATAAGAGAGCATGAGATAATGGCACGTAGAAGGCATGTCGGAATGCCGATGCCTCAACTACTGGTCGATGTTGTATGTAGGCGAACCGAGAAGTGGCAACAGGAAGTG